GGAAGAACTTATGAGAAAGATAAAAATCCAATATGCCGACCCTCTATTATAAAAGTTCAAATTAAAACTTCCCAGAGTGAGTGAGAGTGAATTATTCATGCAAGATTTGAATTTCAAATTCCATAGCTGACTAATTGAGGCGCGGTATAAAGTCGTAAACTACCATATGCCGGCCCTAAACTGGAGCATGGTTCTCGTGCCACAACTCTACTCTGTATAGTTCTGTCCGGCGGAATGTTTACCATACGGTGGAAACATTTTAAACCCTTGTTTTCATAATTATTAGGTATATCTATATGGCGCCAACCATCAGCAACTTTCAGTTGCACGATTGATGCAATTGATGCTGTTTTTCATAATTTATGCGCCTTATTCTAGCACAATATCATATTTGTACTATTTTATATATACATATGTGATATCCTGTCGACTCTCGCTGTGGTGTGAGATTCTGAGGGTCTCTCGCTTTACTGTGGTAACCGAGAGGGTCAAACCTGTAGTAACCGAGAGGAACAGTCAGGGTGTGGAGAGTTTTCCAGTACCTCTCTGCACCTTGGAAGACCTTTAACAGTTCTCACAGAGTACAGGCAGTCGTGATTGAGGTAGAGTGGAAGACTTAGGAATGTCTACACAAAAAAAAAACAACAACAAAGGGACAGAGTTGTAATAGGAAAGTTCCGTGAACAGATAAAGTCGAGCTAGGAGCAAGATGGAGATCTGAGAAAAGTTCTTACTGGTCTACATGGTCGATGAGGTGGACCTTGGGGACATCTGACGAGGGCTTCCGCTGATGGGAAGCGACTGTGTATTTTCGCGCGAATTGACAACTTTATATACTTTGCCGAGAGGAATTATTGGGTTTCAGCGGATGCAACAAGGGCGTGGATCGAAAATGATGTCATTGTACACTGGCAACGCCTTGACAGATTCCTATCTTTAAGCCTCGTTTTTAAAGTTGTGGGAATTCTACATCTCGAACTCTGCTTTAGCTCAACTCTTAATCTATTACAGAGTTTTATTTACAAGGTATGTCCCATAAGTTCCCGGACTGGGTCCATAAAAAAAAAGGTAAGATTTTTTAAAAAAATTTTTATTAAAACTTTTCAAAGTAATCCCCCCTTGCTTCAACGCACCAGCGCCATCGTTTCTCCCAATTGTCGAAACAGTTTTTATAGGCCTCTTTTGGAATGCTCTTCAATGCTAACGGCGATTTTTCTATTATGTCATCCCTGGTGTCAAAATGTCTTCCTTTTAGAACTGCTTTAAGTTTGGGGAACAGGAAAAAGTCATTTGGTGCGATGTCTGGGAAATAGGGTGGTTGAAGTAGGATTTGTGTCCCGTTTTTCGCCAAAAAGCTAGTCATCAAGTGCGCTGTGTGAGGGCGAGCATTGTCATGGTGTAGGATCCAGCCACCATTAGTCCATTTTTCTGGCCTTTTTTTCGAATCGCTTCCCTTAGACGGCGAAGAATGCCCAAATACATATCCTTGATAACTGTTTGGCCTGCAGGAAGATACTCGTGATGAAAAATGCCCTTTTTATCCAAAAAAGCGACCAGCAACACCTTGTTTCTGGACTTCAATAATCTGGATTTTTTGGGTCTAAGCTCACCCTGACATCTCCACTCAGCAGATTGATGCTTGGTTTCAGGATCATAGCCATAAACCCATGTCTCGTAGCCTGTGATTATCTTGTCTTTCCATTCCGGATCCGTTCTTGTCATTTCCAACATGTCCTCACAGGTTGCAAGCCGACACAGTTTTTGCTCATTAGTGAGGGATCTTGGGATGAATTTTGCAGGAGTCTTTTTGATTTGGTTACGATCCTTCCAATCGTTGTTTTAGAGATGCCTGTGTCTTGCTCTAGCTCCAGCAAAGTGGTTCGAGGATTTTCTTTTATCAAATCGGTGATTTTTGCACATTTTCATCAGTCCTTTGAAATTTTTGGGCGTCCTTGACGAAGATCATCTTCAATGGAAATTCTGCCAGCTTTAAATCTAGAATGCCATTCAAAAACAATTGTTCTCTTTGGGGAATGCTTTATTAAGCATTTAAAAAGTTTCGGTTGCTGATATTTGAAGTTTCACACAAAATTCTATGCAAATCCTCTGCTTCAATTTTCGTTCCATCGTAAAATCGCCGCAGCGCTATGTGTAACCTTTAAATAAATTAGAATAACTTTGGGGCGCGTGCACGTACCGCCTCGATATTGGTACCACCGTGTAGCCAGATATTTTTTCTATAATAAACAGTCAAATTCATTTACATTTTTCATTTATTTATTTTTTTATGGACCCAGTCCGGGAACTTATGGGACATACCTTGTATTTATCCTCATATTGTACAAGGTACATTACATATGATGATGTAATGACACATGTCAATCATGTGATAATTATTTACAGAAGTGTTTATTATACAACATCTAAATCTTGTTATATTATATTCAATATGAGGTTGTTGGTTTAAATTACCATATATATATGGCTTTCGAATCAGCCATCAGCAACTTTAAGTTGCACGGTAATGAGATGCTTTTTTCTTAATTAATTATCAGTTTAAAAATACGATTATATTTCTTTCTGTTGAATATGTGAAGGGTTAAAAATGTATTTTATTCATATTTAAACCATTGTAGAGATTTTTGAAACTTCTATAGACAATAAATAACTAGCCATCCCATCATTTAAGGCGATCAATCAAGTTTATGGGCGTGTCTTAACCTTATTTTTAAAGTAATTAATTTTCTTTCTGTGAGCGCTGCTTCTTTTTCTGTCTCTGACATTAGAGATGTGGTATATGCCCTAGAGAAGTACTTGAACTGAATGATCGCTCAATCTAGTTAACCTCTAAGGATTTAATTATCATTGTTATCATTAGATAATGTTAGAGTCAATAAACGGTCTAGATCGCCAGCCAGTCCTGAATATTATCAATCATATACCTTACGTATATATAGGGATGATTGACATTTGACAAAATTATGCTAATCAATAATAATCTATTAATTATGTTGGATCGTTTTTGAAGACAACTCTCAGATTTATCAATTGAAAAACCCTGTAAGATTTATAAATGAGTTGAACAAAGCATCAAGGGCTGCGTATCTTTTATTAGAACGAATATAAAACGAGCTTTCGGGCACATACGCCCTTCTACAGGAATTAATAAAACAATTATCCAACTAGTCTGAAATAGGATTTTTATACACGTAACTATTGTTTTGCATATCGGCTTAATTGAAAATTATTAAAATGTTTAAATTTACATACAGGTGTAATGACTTGGAAAAACTAAATCTAATTAATATGCGGTAATATGCGGTGTTTATGAAATTAATTTATTAAACATTTTTAGATATAGAGAGAGAAACGAGTTAATTACCTCGTATTTAAGGTAACAAAAGAATCATCTAATTTACATACATCGTTCTAACTAGATTCAACTTGTGCAAAACAGACGACAAATGAAAAATAAACAAATAATAGAGGGTAAGTTCCTATTTCTTACAAGCTTTCACACTCAAAGAATAATCAGTTTCTTGCTTCAAATTATAAAAACCCTAATTTTATTATTGCATTTAAAAATATATATTGACCCTCGATTTGAACCTACGACACTTACTCCTATATAAAGGTCAGCGTGCCACCCAGTGACTGGAATTAGCGTCCTTTATATTCCTAAATAAATCTACTACTGATTATATTGCAATGAGAGAAATAGATGACGGGAGCCAGTGGGGAATCCTCGCAGCGCCAGTTCACACTCTACTATTATTGACTGTCCATATGTTAGGATAAACTACGGTAATATATTGGTTCCTACATCACTGTTCTAAAATTATTCTTGAATGTTAAATCAACAGATCAGTGAACAACGCGAGCAACAATCAATCAGTGTAAAAAAACGGACAACAACAAATCAGTCAGCAACAAGAGTAACAGCGAGCTTTCTATTGGTTGAAATTTCTCAACATTACAGAAGCACACACAAAAGCCTTTATTAGGGACTTGCCCCATACAGATTCTCCCAATTGGGTAAGGTAATAATCATCTTGTGTTATTTACATAGAAATTGAACTGGCTTTACTCATCGTCTCAAACTCATTCACTTGTTGACTGGTCCTTACATAATGATGATCTAAAACATTCATAGTAAGCTATTGCCTTAGATTTGTTTGCTGATATTTTTTTAAAGCAATACGTAGGGTGAAGTGTTGGTACATTTAATTTGTTGATATAGGGCCTTCCTCTCTGCATCAAGGGCTGTACAATTAAGCAGGTAATGGGGGAGTTCTTCAGTAATTTCCTTGTCGCACAGTGTACATATCGAGTTTTTGGCCTCAAACGTCAGAAATTGGTTTTTGAAGACTGTAAATAAACACTACAGAAGCTAACGAAACCATTGATGTCCATCCCAATATATTCCTTTATTGAAGTATTATATATAAATCAAAATTACAAGGTTGAGCTGACAAGTTGACATTTATATATTCACATCAATAGTGAGATACCACTTGCCATTATGTCGACTGGGTCCTACATACAAATGTATAAAGGTCCATGCGGTTCTCCGCAGCGCGGTCCCACGAGACTCTTGGATCGATATTTGATAGCGGGACTCGGGGGAAATCGCCAACTTCCTTGTCGCCAGTCCTCCTTCTTCAACCATGACAATCAATATTGTCCCATACCTGGATGTGTCACCACCATTCAGACCTATGCAGATATCTGCACAACGCAAATCAATGCCACCAACTCTACCAAGCCTTTCATAAGACAAAGATCTGATGCCACCACCCTCATCAGTTAAATGGAGGCTATGATTTCTTCTTCTTCTTCTTTCTTATCTCCACTCAATCATATTAGGATATCAAGTTGTGACCCTGATGGTGTCTGTTTGACAACTATCATGACTGGGTGAAGTAGAATGTGTCTGCCTTTGTCATTAAGACTGGGAGCACTCCTCAGTGGCAGGCCGACTTAGCTCCAAAAAAGGTAATAGCCTACAGCACCCGGTGTTCCCAGGTGGTCACTCTCCCAAGTGCTGACCGGGCCCGACATTGCTTAACTTCGGTGATCGGACGAGAACCGGTGTTTTCAATGTGGTATGGCCGTAGGCGTATGATTTCATGAAATTCAAGATTGAATTGATGAAAATGTCCGGAATGTGATTCAGAAGAAGTGACTGGGACAAAACTATGGCAGAAATAATCAGGTGACTATATTGCCTCTCTATAGAAACTTGAATGCAAATCCCATCGGCAGCCAAAATAAAGATAATGACCAATGTGCCATCTATTGGCTGTCTCACCAATCATTGTTGGCGCTTTCTATATTTTCGTCGTAGGACTTTATAGTGACGTTAATGGGCGAAAATTTCATCGGGGATGTTTTATTCGAAATTAATTTCGTATATAAACATCTCAAAAATAAATATGATGTTTTCGTCTGAATTTAATATCGAAGGAAGTCTACTTGTATTTGTGTAAGTGTGCAAGAATAACTTTATGTGAAATTTCATGCAGAATGTTGAAATGATTCGCAGAGATAATTTTAAAAAAATATATTAAATTTATCAAATATCTTCTCTGTAGTTTAAAATATATATAAAATTATTATTAATAAAATACGTCTTTTCATTTTACACCTCAAACTGCAGCTATCTTTACTAAAGATACAGATTTGTCTTTAAGGATTTTATTTCAGATAATATTAGAAAATATACCTGTATTTAGTCAAATGTGGTGTTTCTATTAGATGGCAGAATGGTGTTGCTGTATTTATAGACAAATATTTGACGTCGGAGAAAGCTAAAGTTAATAACATCATTTTGATTAGAGAAGCGTTAAATTAGTTTTAAATATTTATTTTAAATATATAAATAGTTTTAAAAAGCGATTAAAGAATTCAGATATTCCTCGAAGATATGCAGCATTTGTTGATGAAATGATCACAAAGCAGAGGCATTAGAAACTAAGAATTACACATGTGCATCATTGTTTCCATTGAAAATAAGAATACTCTGGATCTTTCTATAACTGTGTCCAAATATACTTTAAAATTTTCTTAATATTGTGCAAGTAGTAACGGAAATAGAAACAAAGAACTAAATATCCATATATCACCAAATTATTCTCTATATTCGCCTTCCCTAAGTTATATTCAAGGAAAGTGCTTATTTAATTCTAAACCCCATCTTCGTGGTACGCGATATTATAGTTTCGTACAAATACGATCTTTAAAAAGGTCTTTTGTTTTTTACAAAATCAACAACTGAATCCTCATCCTCAAATTTCACGGCCCACAAAAATTGACCCAGATAAGTGTCGAACTGAATTTAAAAATACCTTGTTAACAAATTCCAAATGTTTCTACAGGTAAACTCCGTATAATTGATACAATTGTACAACGAATCACAAGTTTTACGAAGGAGCTTCTTTATTTATACTTGAGCTAGCTTTCGAACCTTTCGGTTCTTCGACAGGCGTGGCTAGTATGACTATACTAACAGAGTATAAGCGCGCTTGAGCCATTATATACAACATATATATTTACATGCGAAGTGATATTTCAAATATAATAAAATAGAAATAAGAATTATGACTATGAAATATAAAATAAAACTATTTTATATTTCATAGTCATAATTCTTATTTCTATTTTATTATATTTGAAATATCACTTCGCATGTAAATTTATATGTTGTATATAATGGCTCAAGCGCGCTTATACCCTGTTAGTATAGTCATACTAGCCACGCCTGTCGAAGAACCGAAAGGTTCGAAAGCTAGCTCAAGTATAAATAAAGAAGCTCCTTCGTAAAACTTGTGATTCGTTGTACAAATTCCAAATGTGTATCTTGCTTTTACAAAATCTAGAGCCCACAGAAAGAGAGTCTATTATTGCTGTTGTTGTTGTTGTCGTTTCCAATGAAGAGCCTCAGATGTCTCCATACATCTCTATCACAGCAGTCACAATGTTCTCTATCTTGGGTGTGTAAAGCGACTGCTCTGGGTCCATGTCAATTTTCTGCAAGGCTGCGGCCATTGCTGGACATGAGAATATGTGAGTAGGTGTTAGTTCCACACCAGGACAATTGTTGCATGTCCTATAGGTTCTTGTGGCATTTGGATGTATTGTCATTCCTTTGTAGTGTTTCGTTCTGAGCCTTGTTTTTGTTTTTGTAATTCTTCTCTCAGAGAGAGAGAGTTTATTTTGCATATTTGACCTTTCCTTATCTTTTGTTGAATTATCTTGTATTTTGCCAAAGTATCAGTGTCAAATACTGTCATTTGTTCTTTCCTTGGCTCTAATGTATATTTATCATGAAATAGAACAGTACTCTAAGAATTAAAAAAAACTTTAAAGTGTGTGTTTTACCATTATGAGTATTATAGGCTCCATTTTCCAATACTTATATTGGTAACACACACACTTTAAAGATTTTTATTCGTAGAGTAATTGCATGCTAGTATAAATTAGGGCCCAATGGTTAAAAATATACGAATATTTGATGAGACTACGAAAAAATAAAAATCAAGATAACTTTCCGCCATGTTAATCAAAAGTATAAAAATATCAGACGACAAATGCAGCAAAAGTTCCTGATAAAAAATTCAAATGAATTTTATTTTGGGAAGTGGTGCGTGATATTTGTTTACTTTTTTCTTGAGCGGCGTTGGCACTGTTGCCAGGGCGCTATCTCCAAATTAAATTTTTGATTAGATCGTTTGTAATTTTATTGCCCGCCGCCATTTTGAAGCGGAACAGCAGAATAAACAGCCTGGTTAAATGGGGCCACTTCTCACAACCCATTTTAAGATGGAAGGCGAACTTTTTATTTATTTATTTTTGGTGAACTCTTCGCAGAGAATCAATATTCTTCCCTGGTCAAAAGTCAATTAAAGACAGGCGATGGATTTTACTGAAAAAGAAGTTTAAGATTCTTAATGCATGTCTTTGATTGGTAAAGGCCTTTTTTTACGTGATTGTCCCTCATTCATAAATAATTGCTATTTGCAAAAGCCTATTTTAAAAATAAAAAGTCAGCGCTGATTAATTTTTTATTGTAACTGAATAATTAATTTTAAAATAAAAAGCTATGTACAGCAAGCATTTATTCCTAATGGTAATGAACGCCATTTATTTATTCTTATTTCTCTCTTTCTTGATTTCTTTTTGCTATTATGTAACTTTTATTGCTTGATTACGAATATTTATTTCCGAAAATTTCTCTTTCGCCGATAGTATTAGATCTTTTAAATTTGTCACCATATTCTAAATTTTAAAATAAAATGATGTGAAAACCCAATTTTAGGATCACACCCAGATCTCAACCCATGCTAGTACAAGATAAGAGTAATGTATTACTATAAAGAGGAAAGGCGTTTTTTTTTTATATGAACCTCGGCACTTTTACAATTTGAAACTATTTCAATAAAAATATGTTAATATCGTTAAAACACTTCAATTACAAGTTTCCTGCCATTTCGAATATATTTTATGATCTATGTAAATTATTTCTAGTTGTTTTGAAGAGCACGGATCGGATTACAAAGTTAAAAATACATTAAACAATTAAGATGAAATATGAAAACCGTGTGTTTGAAGTTTATATGTTAAGTTTTTGTAATTATTCTTATTTTTTAATTCATAGAAGCATTTTTCTGGCAGATATATTCAATTTGTGTTTCATTGTTTGTTTGTTTTTTCCTTTGTTAGTTATCAAATCATTTGCAATTGTAGTTTCTTTTTTTGTTTTGTTGTGTTTCTTTTTAAGCAATAAAATATATGTAGAACTAAGGTGTAATATTCAATTCAAGCATATGGAACCAACATCGATTCATTTTTAAAACAAAGCAAAATCATAAGCTTATACAACTTTCACTTTTTCATACACCGTGATGTCATTATGATTAGCGCTAATATTTACAAAACATTTCTCCAACCTCAACAAATGGAAGATAGACATCCTGGAAGGGCCTGGCTCATCCGGAGCCAACCCTACCTGCGACTACCCCAGCTTATGTTCCGTATATCGGTGTTGGAGGTAGCAGAAATTGTTTGCATCAGAATGCAGTTGGAATTGAATGCCAATCTCAAGAGAGGTATTTTGTGACTTACCAGGTAACATCCTAGGTGCGGTGAACGTTTAGAACAAGTTCATCCTGGACTATGCCCGTTTGCGGACTCCACTTAACAAAATTCTCAAAAAATATGTGACGTGGGTCTGGAATGATGCTTGCCAAAAGGTCTTCAACGCCCTGAAAGATTGTCTCACTACACATCCCATATCACATCTCTACCAGGAGGGTCTGCCATGCCTAGTGTACGGCGATACATCGACACTAGGTATAGTAAGCATTCTCAAACAACTCCACCCTAATGGGAAGACCTATCCAGTCCAATACTTCAGCCGCGCCTTGCGTTCACACGAACGGAACTACTCCATATCTGAATTAGGATGCCTTGCAATCGTTGAGAGCATGGACAAATTCCGGGTATACTTGATGGGTAAAAGATTCACAATATTGTCTGACCATCACGTACTACAATGGCTGAAATCGATCAAAAAACCTTCAGTAACTTATATCATTGCAGTAAGGTCAGTAGAGATAATATTTGATGACATTATTGAAAAGAAACACATTGCCAGTCAATTTATTTGTTACAAATTTATAGATGACAATTGACTATATAAAAATAGTTTTACGTATATGCATATTGATTTTAATGATATATATTTTATATATGGTTTTTATTTTAATATATTTTTACAGCTGTTTTAATTTTATTTCAATATGCTAAATTAACGAATTTAGGTTAAAAGTATCAAGAAAGATATCATTAAGTAAGGTTTGAACTTCACAAGAGGTAAATATCATTGTTCAATAAAATCATTCCAGCCGTTAGTTCAGTAGTTTCATGGAAAGAGATCAAGAAACGAGTAAAAAATAGATAGAAGGAAAGTGGTTCGTATTGCTCAGGCAATTTTAAATCCTTTAGAGTTGCGGCGTAAAAAAATGTTATTCTTGCAATTGGGATCTATTAGGTAGATATTTAATTGGAATTGGGAGAGATATTTTGTAGATGTTGGATCGGTTCCAAGTTTAATT